TTCTTTCCTTTACTCCCACTAAACCTTTTCTTCTTCCTTTTTTTTTTAATTTTTTATTGTTATGTTAATCACCATTAAACCTTTTCTTCTACCCTACATTGAGACTGCTGGTCCCTTGAACTCTCCTAGACAGTGCTCTCTGGCCTTCCCTCCTTCCCCATATAGTCTGAGCGCCATAGCAATCATGTTAACTACTCTGTCAAACGAACGACCTTCCCTTGCTCCCCATCATACTGTCACACCTCACCAACAAAACCCAAAATCTGAGCCAATGCTACATTTTGTCTTCACTACTACCATTCCAGGTGAGCCAAGCTCTGTCAGAAAAATATTAAATCATGTAAAGTCAAGTCTACAAATTACTGATTCAAATCTCAGCACCCATCCCCTGCCACAATCCTGCCTGGAGTTAGCATCTCCCCAATTCTTTCCTAACAACCATTCCAAACTTTCTTCACTGTCTCTAATGTTGAACAGACTCCCATCTGGTGTCGACTAGACTTTCTACTTGACTCCAACCTCTCACCTGTACCCATTTAACACAGATGTCATTTCCTTCAAACTTCTCTCCCTCCACCGACATATTTATATCTGCACCCATATTCACTTTCTTTTCTACAGTCTCAGATGAGGCCTCTCCTTTCTAACTTCCCACATTTGCGCTCTTTTTGGCAGCCCCTCCTACTTCTGAACCTTGCTCATTCGTCATCCATTCTCTCCCCTACCTGTCCTGCTTATTTAACATGTTTATCTTTACTGATACCCTTTCTTCATCACCTAAACATGCACAAGTCTCTCCCACATCCCTACATCCTCTCTTGATTTCTACCATCCTCCAGCCACAACTATCCCATTGCTTCTTATTTTCATCTAAACTTCTCAGAAGTATAGTTTACACTCAATGTGTGTTCACTAAGTTGCTCTAACTTGGCTGGCTTTGGCCCCCAGTGTAAGGCTGAAACTGCTCTTCCTGAAGTTATCAATAACTTCCTAGTTACTTAGTTCTTAAGTAATGCATTCTCTCAAAGCATGCTATAGGACTGAGGACAAAGAGGCCCTCTTCTAGTACCCGCTGCTCCTTCAAAGTCACTATGTCTCCACTCCTCACCTCATACCGGGGGTCAGCAAATTTTTCTGTAAACGGCCAGACAGTAAACAGTTTAGGTTTTATGAGCCACATGGTCTCTTGTATATGTACCCAATTGTGCAAGGAAAAAGCAGCCACAGACAATACATAAATGAATGAGTGTGGCTGTGTTTCAATAAAACTTTATTTATAAAAACACATAGTGGGCTAGATTTGCTCTGCAGGCCATAGATTGCTGACTCCTCCTCTTTGCTAGCACCTTGTGTCACCCCAGGCACTTCTACATTTCTCAAGAATTTGCCACCTGACTCAGTTCTTCATCACCAGCCTAAGTAACAAGGCACATTACCTGGGACCTGGGAAGCAATCTGTAAACATGGCTACAATTATTATTTTTTAAAAATTATCATACAGACACTTTCAATAAATCTGTGGACGACCAACTAGCACTTTTGGCTCTGTTTCTTCATCTACTGAACTCTCACACTCTGGATTTTGTCATCACTGCAGAGCACTCTATCTCTGAAATCTAACCTCTAATATACACTGATCAAAATCTCCTGCTTGTCATTCTCACTCTCATGCTCGCTCTTCAACCTCCACAAGCCTCCAATCCACTTTTATCTCTATTGTCTCCTAATCCACGAGCTCCCACCCATCTTTACTTCCTATCAAGCTTGATCTCATGGTCCCTTCATTGCGCTATCCTCTCACCTACACCCTCAACTCCTGTTTCCCAGCTGTACCAGACTAGCAAAGTCCTGTACCATCCCATCTATCTGCCCTCTTTATTCCTACACCTGGATGGCCCAGGACTGCTGAAAATGTCTCACAGATCAATGCCATTACAAACTTATGCTCTGGCCCCAGCTGGGGCTTCCGCATCACCCAGCAATACTTTCCCCAATCCTCTCACAAATAATCCAAACTTCCAAAGCTTAAAACTCTCCTCAAGGTCCCTTAGGCTTAGGCTAGCATACTCTCTCTCACCTTCAAATGACCAATTTACCTCAAGCTCTTCAGAGAAATTAAGAGATGTGAATATATGTTTTCAACTCTTTGCTGCACCAACACACTTAACTTGTCCACTATCCTAATTCCTTCCCTCTAGTCCCAGAAAGAGTTGCTTCTACTCCAATCCACCAGCAGTGTTCTGGATCCATCCTTGCCCCTTCTACCTCACCCATACTACAAAAACCAAACCCTGCACAAGCCAGCCACATCGTAGGACTTTCTTTGCTGCTCTTTACCCATGGATACATTGCTTATCCTGAGCTTCCCCATATTCAAAATGGTGATATCTTTGCAAGGTTGTTTTGAGTTTAACAGATCTATAAGTGCCTGACATATGGCAATCATTTCACAAATGGTAGCAATTATTATTATTATTATGTTAAGTTAATAGCCTGAAGGTGAAAGGCGGTGTGACAAGACATGCAATACAGGATTGGAGACCTTCAGTGGGGAAAAAGGGAAGCATACCTGGAAAGAGAAGAAGAGAAAATAATTTCCCTTGACCTAAAATGTTCCAATCTTTCTGTGAACATATCCAGTTGCTCTGTGAATTACAGTAATTAGATATATGACTACTCTTTGCTATTCTCACCATAGTCTGGAGCCTGCAACTCCTCTTAACAGTGTAACACTCTCCACGGGGAAGATTTGCTCTGGGTTCTAAGTCTTTGCCAACAGAGAAAACTAACAAATCTTACCTCCATTAAATGAGAATTAAAGTGATATACATTAAAAAGGAATTATAGCAATGTTTAACCATTGAGAGGTGTCAAACAAAAGTATTCAATTTATGATTCCATCACTGGGACAGAAGCACTTCAAGGTGAGAACCTGGGACATCCTGTGCCAGAAATAAGAGAAGTGCAAAAACTGGGGATAATGGGTGCCTGGGTAGCTCATTCCGTTAAGCATCTGTCTCCGGCTCAGGTCGTGATTGCAGGGTCCTGGGATCGAGTTCTATATCAGGTTCCCTGCTCAGTGGGGAGCCTGCTTCTCCCTCTGCTTCTCCCTTTGCCTCTCTCTCTCTCTCTCTCTCATGAATAAATAAATAAAATTTATATATAAAAAAAACTGGGGGCAAAAACTGATAGGGTAGTGGAGGAAATATCAAAAAGACATAGGAGCTGGCTTGAAGGGGCTCCCAAAGGATAAATCCAGGATAATTTGAGCATCAAAAAGAATGATGGTGGTAAAGGACGGATTCTAACACAATTAATAAAAAAAGAAAAAAAAAAGTCCTCATGTCTAGAAAAGGTAATTAAAAAAATAAAAAGCAGGAGCTCCAAAAAAAAAAAAGAGAGTGGAGTAAGACGTGAGGCCAATGCAGATGTCCTGTCATTCTTGCAGATATCCTGTTAACTCTTCACCCAGTGTTTTTCGCATCATGGAGATGATTTCTACTTTGGGAGGTTGTAAAGTGGTGATTTTCTAGTTATTTCATTCCTTCGACATTTATTAACTGGTATTCTATAAAAGATTTCTCTCTTTTTATTAAATAAAAAGTTGAAAGGTGGGAAGACTATTCAGTTAGTCCACAACAGAAATGGTTAAGTCTTTGGTAACAAACAGCATGAGTTGCACACAACCTTGTATCTATCTTAACATCTACTTCAGAAAATACACATAAGTGTCCAATAGATGTTTGATGAGAGAAAGGAAATTTATCTGTTCAAATTGTATTTCAGCTGGCAGAAATTCCTAAAGCATTAAGAGCTGCTACAACCAGCTGGCTGCCAGGTATATATGGAACTCTGGATGGTCACTGGAACTTTTCAAACAATGAAAGGCAATAGAGTGTGACAGCAAAGGTTTTGGGGCAGTCAGACCTAGATTTTATTAGTGTGGTGTCCTTGGGCAGATTTAATCTCCCAAAGTCTCAATCACTCTATCTGTAAAAGAGAAATAAAACAGTACCATATAGGGTGGTTATAAGGATTAAATAAGATATAAGATAATGAATGTAAAGTACTTAGCATCACTTAGTAAGTCTTAACTCTAATTTTATCAATAAAATCAGCTAAAAGTTATTCCATAAAATGAAGCTCATGTTTTTATGGACCATATTTTGACTTTATTTTGAAGATTAAAGGTCTTCGTATGATCTCAGGGCATTCTATGAAAATTTTAAGTCAAAGTAAGAAGGCAGAACAATGTTCACTTCTTGTTTCTATTTGGTACCTTGAAGAAAAAGCATTTACTAAGATAATAAGCGACCTTTCCCCAAGGTAAAAGCATTTTAGTTCTTCAACTTAATCTTAATAAACCAGTATAAAGTACTAAAGATTAGCAAAATGAAGCTATTAAAAATGACTAACGGAATCAAATTCAATACTAAGAAAATCTGGAAATAATCTTGTCAAGCTACCTTAAACTCTTTTCATTAGAGAAGTTGTAGGTTTTGTTGCTACTGATCAAAAATTTTTTAAGAATACATTAGAGATAGGATATTACAAAAGATAGGAATTACAAAACATGAAACCGTGTTTTCATGGGAGTTACTGAACACAGTTTTTTGGAAGTACTTAGACAAAAAAATGAGCACCTATCTTTTTGGCTTAAGTGGACCTATGCCTAGATAAAACAGGACTGACTCCAATAGATGGATGATAGTCTACCCCAATTATTCTGCTAAATTCTAAAGCAGTCTCTCCTAAATGTTGGCAACTGTAGCCAGCAGGCCAAATCCAGCACACAGTGTATTTTCATAAATATAGTTTTAATGGATCACAGCCATTCTCATTCACTTAAGTACTGTATTTCGAGTTGAAAGGTTGCAGCAGAGACCATATGGCCCACAAAGCCTAAAATATTCGCTATTCGGTCTTTTACAGAAAAAAATTGCCGATTCCTATTCTAGACAAGCAATCCACAAAAGGAATAAAATCTGTTCAGGACTCACCTGAGGTGTTGTCTTTTTATACTGATCACCTCCATCTATCACATCCCTCATGATTTTGCCCTTAAGAAATTCATACTCTTCTGGACTCAGGTGAATAGACTCCATGGTTTTTCCACAGCCCAAACACTGACCGCTGTAATTACAATAGTTTGTGTTAAATGGTATCCTGGAAAAAAAAAACTTTTTCTAAAATGAATAATCCGGGCGCCTGGGTGGCTCAGTTGGTTGGGCGGCTGCCTTCGGCTCAGGTCATGATCCTGGAGTCCCTGGATCGAGTCCCGCATCGGGCTCCCTGCTCGGCGGGGAGCCTGCTTCTCCCTCTGACCCTCCCCCCTCTCATGTGCTCGCTCTCTCTCATTCTCTCTCTCTCGAATAAATAAAATCTTAAAAAAAAAATAAATAAATAAAATAAAATAAAATGAATAATCCTAGGACAAGAGGAAATTGAAGAGTAATGAAAAAAAAGAACATTATAATCTTTGTGATCATCATATGCATCCAATTTTTTATAAACCTGATAATAACACACATTAGGTGTGCCAGAAAACCCAAAAAAGTAGACTGCTGGGCACCCAGTTTTTAAATTCATTCTCAAAACACAACTGGGTCCCAAATCTGTAGAGGAAAATATCTCTGAGGCTTCACACAAGGCTCACACCACTTTATGGGAAAAACATTTTGAGCACTGAAAATTCTCCATATGCAAAACATGGCTTTTTTTCTTGGGTACTCTCTTAATTATCCTATCTCTAATGTATTCTTAAAAAAATTTCAATCAGTAGCAACAAAACCTACTAAACCCACATCAAGCAAGTTAAAAATTAAATACTGGCCTTTACCTTTCCTTGACTGTTGTGAACTGTCCTTTCCATTGTTCTCCAGGAACACTACAAAAAAAAGATTGCAAAACCAGATCATTAGGAGGTCAGATTCCTACAGAACCGAAAGATAGGCATTTTATTTAGAAACTCAGCAGGCAAGAGCTCTGAAAAGTTCAGAATACTTCCCTAGAATGGTTTAATTAGAAGAGTGGGTGATATACTGTGACAGAGCTAAGGAGATAATGGTACCCTACTGTGGACCTCCTTCTTCCCTTCACTTCTCCTTTGGTCATCCAATCTTCATCTTCACATCTAAATCTGCCTACAGGGGACCCAGTAGCTGACATTAATAGTGTAACCTATAAATCAAACTCAACTCTAACCTTCTCCATAGAGCTACCAGAGATTGTTTCTCCCCAAAGTAATTTCTTCCCTTATACTATCTTCTTATGCACTACTATAAACTGTCAAGTATTATATTCCCAATTAGGTTGTGAATGCCATCACAATAGATCTTATATCACCAAACACCCACAGGGCCTAGCCAAATGGAGGCATTCAAAACTACTTGATTTTTTTGCTCAATCAACTTATCCTTTCCTTTCTCTTACACAGACTACTATCAGCTTCTATCGATTCAATTGCCTTCTCTCCTTCCCTAGTTCTTAACTCAAGATCTCATCATCTCTCTTCCAAACCTACAATTGCTTCCAAATAGATCTTATTTCCAATCTTAATCCCTCTCCAACCTTTGTGTGTGTGTGTGTTGGCAGTTACCTTTCTAAAACTCTACTCCAGGGGCACCTGGGTGGCTCAGTCATTAAGCGGCTGCCTTCGGCTCACATCATGATCCCAGGGTCCTGGGATCAAGCCTCACATCGGGCTCCCTGCTCTGTGGGGAAGTCTGCTTCTCCCTCTCCCACTCCCCCTGCTTGTGTTCCCTCTCTCAGTGTGTGTGTCTCTCTCTCAAATAAATAAAATCTTTTAAATAAATAAATAAAACTCTACTCCAAGGTAAGAGAGTAAAATCCAAAATCCCTGGCATTCAAGATTTTCACAACCTAGCCCCTCCAGTAATATTCAATAAATTTGTTAAATAAGATAATTAAGCATGGTTGCTATTTCAAAGATCTGTAAAGAGAATATATAATTGAAATGAGAAAAAGAGAAAAGGAGTAAGTTTTTAGGAAAAGAGCCTGAAACAAATTAGTGGTGAAGAAATAAGTGAATAAAAGACTGAAGCAATAGGGGCACCTGGGTGGCTCAGTCGTTAAGCGTCTGCCTTCGGCTCGGGTCATGATCCCAGGGTCCTGGGATCAAGCCCCGCATCGGGCTCCCTGCTCGGTGGAGAGTCTGCTTCTCCCTCTCCCACTTCCCCTGCTTGTGTTCCCTCTCTTGCTGTCTCTCTCTGTGTCAAATAAATAAATAAAATCTTTAAAAAAAAAAAAAAGACTGAAGCAATAAATAGGCACAGAGCCACTAACATGAATAAAAGTAAAGAGAAAGCAGAGAGCCTTGGAGAGAGCAGCTGGATGATGGAAAGATCCAAAATGAACTGGAACAATGAGATTTTCCATTTTTAACACTTGCATATCATGTCTGATCAGGGTCCCCCATCTGCTCTAACCATCCAAGTTAATGAAATGCATAGATTAAACAGATACCAGTCACTAGGTTTCAGAAGAACTTCTTAAATACTAATACGACCCAAAGACAGCTCCAGTTTTCTTACTATGAACTCCAGGCACAAGTGCTACTTGTACGTACATACCGTACACCTCAGGAAAAAACAGATGATCCCTCCACAAAGAAAAAAAATACATGAAAACATACAAGTGCTTGATAATTTCCCTTTAATGTGATGGAGAATAGAACTTGTTTATGCTACTACTTTTTTTAAAGAGAAAGAAAATTTTGTCTTTAATTTTATTTTTTTTTTAATTTTTAAAAAAAATTTTAAGGATTTTATTTGCCAGAGAGCGAGAGAGCACAAGCAGGGGGAGTGGAAGGCAGAGGGAGAAGTAGGCTCCCCGCTGAGCAAGGAGCCGGATGCGGGACTCGATCCCAGGACCCTGGGATCATGACCTGAGCTGAAGGCAGATGCTTAACAGAATGAGCCACCCAGGCGTCCCAAAATTTTGTCTTTAAAGGCAAACAAATCTGAGAGAAGGAAAGAAATATAATCTGAATAGAGTAATTCTCAAAAACAACAAAAAAAAGGAGGTGGCTGCTTTTAGGTAGACGTATTAAAATAAAAACATACATATAAAGAAAGATCAAAATTACCTCTCAAACCATGTTTTTATACTCTGTGCAAATGATTCCTCAGGATACAGTTGATTATTTCTTAGATACAAAAGAATGTCAAGTAGCTTGTTTGAATACTGATCATCTTTTATGTTTTTTCCAAAATCAAAGAATGCCTTTAAAGTTTTCAGCATAGGAATAAGATCATGACCTAACAATTCCTGATACAAATTCCAAGCTAGGTTTACATCTTGATGAAGAAGGGCTCCCTCTATACAGTCATTGTAGTTCTTTCTTGAAGCGATCATGACTTTTTTGACATCCTCTAACAGCAGCAAGGCCTCTTTCCATCTGTCTGAGTGGACTAATCCCTGGATGAGGAGAGTATACCCTTCAGATTCTAATCTCTTGTATCTGGCTTTCATGATCTCATAGACATCAATAACTTCCGATGTCTGCTTATGAAAGACGCAGAGATACAAATACCTGACCAGCAAATCATAGCCTACAATACCATTGTTTTTTGCAGCTACCCAGGCTAACAGAGATTTGGCCACATCTACAGAGCTATGGGAGTGGGCCATCTGAGAAATGATCCAACTTTCAAATTTAGCCTTTCCTTTGAAATCTTCCTTGAGTTTATCCCACTCTTCTGAATTCAAAGGTTTTGTTGGGAGTTGAATAGTGTTCCTCACAGGTGGCAAGGCATGATCTTCCTTATGAGGATTCATCTCTGATCTCTTCTTAGCCGCTCCAGCTGCAAAAAGATGGGAATCAGAAGAAACTTGCTTATTACTGCCTTCATCTCCTTTCCTGAGATATCTGGCCTTGGCAGTCAGCAGATTCACTGCTTTAGTATTTTGTGCAGACACTGTTTTAAGAGAAAACCACTTCTGTTGGTTCCAGATGCCGTAACAGTCTTTGAGAAAGAGAGAGAGAGAAGAGTGTCCTGGGCTTAGGTCAAGGTATGGGTTGTTCTTCCAAAGCTTAGGAAAGCTTCGAATACCAGTGAAACAGAAAGTCATCATTCAGTGAGATCAGCACCAGATAGAGAGATGTTAAAAAAAAAGCCCCTACTTCTGCAGCATAATTAAGGAATTGGGAGTGTGGGCGGAGAATCGAAGCACAACTTCTTAAAAGATGATTTTCAGTTTCTCACAGACAAATCAAGGATCTGCTTTTGAGGCTACTTAATACAACGAAGCCTGCTGAGTTCTCTCCATTAACAACCATCCGGGGACATCCGACCTCGGTCGCAAGTCTCAGAACCCGGCGACAGGGCAGGAATCCTCCGGTGCCTGATATATTCCAATCTGTGAACCTGAGGAAAAAGCACAAGGAGGTCCGTCCAGTTGGATTCGCGTGAAAACGAGTTAGGATCCCATGGGAGCCTTGCTGAAGGAGGGACGCAAAGTCGAAAACGGCTACCAGGTGTCCCCAAACCCAGACCTAGGAGCAGCAGGGACAACGACGAAAGCCAAAATCTAGGGACCCTGGGCCGGCATAACAATCCTCCCAGGCCGCCAAACGCGTCAGGTGATGATATGAGGGCGGCGGAGGTGGGGAGAGAGCCGAACTGACAATTCAGGTAAGGAAGGAAGGTCCACGAAGGGCAGCGCCGGCCGTGTACCGACCGATCATACACGAAGTTCACTCGATTCACCAACTCACCTCAGCACTCACGCTTAAGGCAACCATAAGCACGGCCGAACTACCGCGCCCACAACGCACCGCGAGGGCCCCGGCGCCGGGGCGTGGCTGAACCTCACGGAGGCGTTGCGCCAGGCCTGACAAAGATAAAAAGACCATTTTGAAGATGTTAGTGGCAAAAGGGGCTGTTGAAAACGTCTGCTATGTTCAGGGAAACTTTAGGGCCTTTAGATATCCGCAGTGAGCAATGAAAAGAAATTGTGAGGCAAAAAAAGCTCTTCCTCGGGCCGGAAACGCCATAGGACTCCTGAATCACGTGGTACACGCGCGCCAAAGTCCCAAGTTAAAGAAATAAAAACGGGGGCTTCCTTATCCTGCACCTTTAAAATTGGACTTGGTGAAGTTGGGCGCTGCCTTACAGAGGATCATTCTTCCATCGGTTTCAAGTCGGCTTTCCTCGCTGTTAACAAGATCGCTGTATTCTCCGCAGTAGCTGTTAATGGGTTTTTTGCCGGTTAGCCGACTTCCGCCCAAGTCCAAGATGGCGGCTGCGCGTTCCTGACCTTTACGGGGTTGGGCGGTGATTGCAGTCTGAGCTAGTAGGGGGTGGAGCGGTTAGTAAACAGCAAATGCAGGAGCTGTTGCGCGGGAGTCAGCCATGGACTGGAAAGAAATTCTTCGCCGGCGGTTAGCGACGCCCAACACAGGTACCAACAGTGAGTTTGGGAGGGACTGCTCGCGGAGATAGGTCGGCCCTAAACTCTGGAGGTAGGGGGAGATCGGGGACGAGCAGCTGCTGGGAGCCGCACTTTCCGCTTCTATAAAAGCTCTCTTGACAAAGGCAGAGGGGACGTGATTTAGGGATACTGAGAGGTCTGACCCACACTTCCCGGGAAAAGGATTGCGGGAATGAAGAGCTTACCTTAGCACTCACTTACGTGGCCTTGACCAAGGCTTTTGAGGGATAATTGAGAACCCCGGTTCCAACAACTCTTCGATCCTACTACAACCTTCGATCCTACTACAACGCCTTTTTACTAACACACTTTTGACTTCCCTCCTTATCCATTTTAGATTTAATCATCTATTTTTCCTTATTCTTTTCCTCCTCCTTCACGCTTGCTTGTTAACCAGCCTGGTTAAAACTTTCTTATTCCACACGTGCCCTCAGGGCAGCCAAAAGTGGCTGGAGAAAAACGGAACCATGGTAAATGGTGTCACTTTGAATTCATGTCCACTAACCTAGAGTGTTTCAGTTTTTCATTTACACATATTCCGCGTTTCCCTAGATATTCATTCTCCTACACTCTAAGGCAGTTCTCATCTTCCAGACCTCCAGTTCTCCAGCATGTGCTATCTATTCCTTATGTTCAGTTGATAAACTTATGTATATATTTGAGAAGGTCGAAGCAAAGAAAAACCTCACCTGTTCCCACTTACCATTTCTATCAGCCCTTTCACCACCAGAGATGCCCATAAACTCTGCCTTTACTGTTCAAAATGAACTGTCCATGCTCCTATTTGAGACAGTTCCTCCAGTCCAACAGCAGATCCCGTTCCCTTTTATTCACTGATTTCACTCTGTTCTTATCTTCTGTCTCATATATCATCAAATTTTCCTTCTCTACAGGATCATTTCCATCAGCTCTGACAAACATGCTGTAATATACTCCATGTAAGAAAAATCATTTCATCTCACATCTCCTTCCAGCTTTTGCTGCATTTTTCTGTACTTCTTGTAGGAAAACTTATCAAAAAAGTCACCTGTATTTGTACTTTCTCCTCTTCTTCACTCTTTTTTTTTTTTTGCCATCAAAAAGTATTTCTATTGAAGTATATTTCCTTTATTTTTTTAAACATTTTTATTTAAATTCAGTTAATTAAGATGTAATGTATTAGGGCGCCTGGGTGGCTCAGTTGGTTAAACAACTGCCTTCGGCTCAGGTCATGATCCTGGAGTCCCAGGATCGAGTCCCACATCGGGCTCCCTGCTCAGCAGGGAGTCTGCTTCTCCCTCTGACCCTCCCCGCTCTTGTGCTCTCTCTCTTTCATTCTCTCTCTCAAATAAATAAATAAAATATTTTTAAAAAGCACCAATTCATTTAAAAAAAAAAAAGATGTAATGTATTATTGGTTTCAGAGGTGCAGATATGTGATTCATCAGTCTTATATAATACCCCATGCTTATTACATCTCATGCCCTTCTTTTTTTTTTTTTTAAAGATTTTTATTTATTTATTTGAGAGAGAGAGAGACAGCGAGAGAGGAACACAAGCAGAGGGAGTGGGAGAGGGAGAAGCAGGCTCCCCGCCGAGCAGGGAGCCTGATGCGGGGCTCGATGCCAGGACCCCCGGATGACCTGAGCCGAAGGCAGACGCTTAACGACTGAGCCACCCAGGCGCCCCAGCACATGCCCTTCTTAATGTCCATCACCCAGTTACCCCATCCCTCAATCTCCCTCCCCTCAAGCAACCCTCAGTTTGTTTCCTATGATTAAGAGTCTCTTATGGTGGGCGCCTGGGTGGCTCAGTTGGTTAAGCGACTGCCTTCGGCTCAGGTCATGATCCTGGAGTCCCTGGATGGAGTCCCACATCGGGCTCCCTGTTCAGCAGGGAGTCTGCTTCTCCCTCTGACCCTCCCCCCTCTCATGCTCTCTCTATCTCATTCTCTCTCTCAAATAAATAAATAAAATCTTTAAAAAAAAAAGTCTCTATGGTTTGTCTCCCTCTCTGGTTTCATCTTGTTTTATTTTTCCTCTCTTTCCCTATGATCTCCTGTTTTGTTTCTTAAATTCTGCATATGAGTGAGATATAATTGTCTTTCTCTGATTGACTTATTTCACTTAGCATAATGCCCTCTAGTTCCATCCACATCATTGCAAATGGCAAGATTTCATTTTTTGATGGCTGTGTAATATTCCATTGTGTACATATACCATATCTTCTTTATCCATTCATCTTCATCTGTCAGTGGACATCTGGGCTCTTTCTATAGTTTGGCTATTGTGGACATTGCTGCTATAAACACTGGGGTGCAGGTGCCCCTTCAGATCACTACATTTGTATCTTTGGGGTAAATACCCACTCCACTGCATGCCTGTTATGTGTCAAGCACTGTTCTAGGCTATAGCAGTAAACAAAACAGACAAAAGTCTTTGTCCTTGTGGAACTTAAGCTAAAGTGTTGGGAGAGATGATTAATAAGTAAATCGTTTTGGTTGTACAACTTGTATTTAAGGCTGTTTTCTTCATTGGTGTGCTAGATCCCATGTTTGCTACTCAAAGATGTATTCCTGCAGTTGTCCCCCTCTGTCCTGCATCAGTTTTTCTTTCTCAGTCATCCCTATCAGTGTATGAACATGGTGGTATTTCTCTCATCCTAGAGAAACTTTGTCTTAACTTCTACCTCTAGCTAAGCCTCATTGCTCCCCTTACAGCAATGCTTGTTAAAAGAATTGTTGATTAAATCTGTGCTGTAATTACTGCTTGTTAAGATCATCAGTGATCTCCATTGTTGTTCCAGTGGTCAGTTTTTAGTCCTCACTTTCCTTGACCTGCTGCCAGTCCCTGCCAGGGATATGATAGTTCACTCTCCCCCTAAACATACTTTCCTCTCTTGGTTTCTGGGAGTCATACTCCCTTAGTTTTCTTTCCACCCCACCAGTCCTCCGTTCTCAGTGTTTGTTTTCTTCTCTCCAACAAGTTAGCATTGGAGGGCCCAAAGCTAAGTAAGTCCTTGGTCAGCTTCTGTTCTCTATCTACACTCCCCTTCATGATGAAATTAGCCATTCTTATGGCTTTAAATACTGTGTATTTCCTTCTGTCTCCTAAATCCAAATGCCAGATTCATATGTCTAATTGCCTACTTGACATGGCCACTTGGTTCTAATAGGTATTTTAATCTTAACTTGTCCAAAACTGAACTCCTGGTATCCTTTCTAACTTGCTCACTTATAACTTTCCCCATCTGCTCAGGTCAAAACCTTTGCAGATATCTTCAACTGCTCTTTTTCTCTGATACCCACATGCAGTGTGTCTGCAGATCCTGAGACTAAGAAAATATATCCAGAATATTTACTCCTAACCACCTCCGCTGCAGCCACCATGATCCAGGCCATCACCATCTGTCACCTGGATGACTGCAGTAGCCTCCTACTTACTGCTGGTGGCTCTCTCCCTCACCAGAGTAAAAGCCAGGGTCTTTCTAATGACCTAGTGGCCTTGACTCCCATGATCTGCCTTCCCTCATCTACTCTTTCCTCTGGCTCACTCCGCTGCAGGCGCACTGGCTGCCTCCCTCTTCCCGTATACACCCGGCACGCTCCTGTCTTCAGGCCTTGGTGCTGGCTGTGTCCTCGCCTGGTAGGCACTTCCCCGTTTATCTGCATAACCTGCTTCCTTGCCTTCTTCAGTTTTTTTGCTCAGTTTCATCTCAGTGAGGCTTTCCCTGACACTCTGTTGAAAGTCATATGTAGGTATAGACACATGTGCACACGTCTACCCATACAGATAATTGTGTGTCCCTAGAATAGTTGAATGAAAAAGAATGAGTGAAATCATGAAAATGACTGCTGGGATTTGGGCTTGGGTGACTGAATGAATACCAGTAATTG